ACAGCCTTCCACCCCCAGACTGATGGGCAAACAGAAAGAATTAACGGCATATTGGAACAATATCTCCGTGCATACGTCAACTACCAACAAGACGATTGGTACGACTGGCTATCACTAGCCGAGTTCGCCTACAACAACGGAAAACTAGAAACAATCAAAACAACTCCTTTCTTCGCAAGTTACGGCATACACCCCGAATACGAAAGCATAGATCATATGCTCCAAGGAAAGATAACGGATAAAAAGGATATGAGTCAACTACACGACACATTACGAAATGAAATGGTCACGGCTCAATTACGACAAAAGGAAGATTACGATCGCCACAGAAAACCCGATCCAAACCTAAAATCAGGAGATATGGTTTGGTTACTACCATGCAACATCTGAACCATGCGACCGACAAAGAAACTGGATTACAAGAAAATAGGACCATTCAAGATATTGGCAAAGATAGGAAGCCGCGCTTATAAGCTCGACCTCCCACCGTCAATAAAAATACACAACACCTTCCATATCAGCCTCCTTGAACCCTATCAAGACAATCCTCTACCATATCAAAAGAAACCCCTACCACCGCCTATTGAAATAGACGGTGAATCAGAATATGAACTCGAAGAAATAATCGACTCTCGATTACACTACGGTCGCTTGCAGTACAGAGCGAAGTGGACGGGATACTCGCCCGAACACGACAAGACCTGGTACGCAGGCAAAAACTTCAAACATGCACAAAATGTAGTCCAACAATTCCACCGAAAATACCCCCACAAGCCAACAACCGACAGTCGAAGACATACCTGATTCAGGGCATGTAACGCCAACACTATACCGGACAGATTCTTACCAGTGGGAATATCCCAAGGGAAGAGGTGCGATGACGATGCCGTCAACCCTACAATCATTGCCAGAACGCGAGGCATTCAAACACATCACACCAACGAGTCCGAGATACCGGATCCCCACCCCGCAGCCAGCTCCAATCAAGCTGGAGCTGAGCAACGAAGATTGGACCAACCTGGTAGACCTCAACCTGAGGAAGACCACAACACCCGAAAGGGAACACGCGAACCTGTCATGGACAGGTTGCTACAACGACAAGTGCCAAGTACACAGAAGCGAGAAGGAAGGCACGGGATACTGGCCTCGGGAAACGAACCGATGGCCACCCAAGACTTCACCCCTGGGATCACCAACGAGATCCCCGATGCCCAAGAGATCCCCCACACCAGAGCCAGTGGCGCTGGTCCAATACATCGAACCGACTCCGAGGACAGAATCGAGGAGGAGGGGGGCGAAAAAACAAAGACAATGGGCGAAGCCCAGGAAACTGAAGCAGGTTTCCTGGCAACAAGAGATGGAAGAAGAGACGGAGCCCGAGACATCGAAAGAGGTCAAAATGAAATGGCTAGCCGAGAAGGTCGAAACGAGCAAGCTGCTGGAATATCAGGCGGAAAAGATAGAGGAGCTCAAGAAAGATTTGGAAAGGACGAGGTGGATCAACGACAAATTGAGGGAGGAGTTGCAAGGAGAAAGGAACATGAGGAAGGCTCTCCAGAATGACTGGAGAAAAGAAGAAAAGGAAGCGAGAAGAACTCTGGCCAGGGTGGTCAAGGTGAACACGGGAGCGAATAGGTACTATCCACTACCCAAAGGAAGAAGATGGGGGATAGAAGACTGAAGCCCGATGGGACTCGGGCTGAGGGAGAGGGGAGCTAATGTCACAAGCTGTGACTAAGCAAGGCAGATTTCATATAGCTCGGATTTCCGAGTTATAGGTATGTTGGGATTTCACATGACGCACACTAGTGTGCTATAGGTTATTATGTTTATTTGTTTGTGACTCACAGTTGTGAGTCATACGATGTTATGATTTTCGCACATGACTCATACTTATGAGTCATGGGTTTCACTCAGGTGACGCGAGTTGCGCACCTGACTTGGTTATTATGTTTGGATTGGTTTAGGCAGGTTGTGCAGCGACTCATAGGAGTCGTCTGATGGATTTCATATGACTCATGGTTATGAGTCACAGGGTTCACGTGACGCGAGGTGTGAGTCACGCCAGGTGAAGAGCGACTATATAAAAGGGTCACTAGGACCCCGAGTATGAGCTCTTCACACGTTCTTCTTGTTTATTTCCTACATTTAAGTTATTGTCAATAAAACCTACCTTTACGCTCTTTAAGATTTATCTTAAGAAACCCAAGAATTGTCTTTCCTCTCAAGCGAGAAAACTATTTCTCCTCCCACGTCGAACGACTAAGTCCTCAGTAAGAACTTAAGAAGTATAAGGAGATAGGCGCGAATACGATAGTAGTCAAAGGACTGGACTATCGGGATCGCGTAGGCACAGGCCTGAGAGCTATCACCTTACAGAGAAGTATCGTTACCTGCCGCTAGGTCCTACTAGGTAGGATTCTTAACAGTTGTGTTCGCTCATCTTGGACTTGGTAACGTAGACTGCGTGGCGTGCAGGCTGTTCAATCCTGCTAGTTGCGGCTTAACGCAAAGCCCGGGCTCATAACCTGATTACAACTTTCCTCTGTATAGGATGCAGTGCTGTGGAATTAGCGCGGTGTCAGGAATGAAACAAAGCGTATTGATAGAAAAGTGTGTATTGACTATGCTATATTATCAGGAAGCTCTCGGCTTCATATACTTGTAGGTCGTGCATGCAACGCACACAAACAGGAAAACAATAAACACCAGTCACACTCAACATGCCCTAATGGCATCCATGGCGCTCCAACAACATACGGCACGCAACATACCTGCGGCACTGTAGCCCAATCTATCCCATATGGGATTCCATCCATCACCAATGAGATCCTCACGGCCAGTAAACTTGCTGTTCCTGCAATAGGGAATTATCTGATAGGGTCTGGATGCTTCTTCTGGTTGTAATCGCTCATTAGAACTTTGCCGGAAGTCTCTCGGGAAAGCTGGTAATACCTCTGTCCTCGGCTCTAGGCACACACCCTTGAAATATTAGACCAGGATTGATGGCGTTCAGGTTTCTCGAGTCAATGTTACTATTATTATTATTATTACCAAGGACATTGTTATCCCCCGAATTCCCGCTGAAGTTTCCGTTGTTCTTGGCCCTTGTTTTTCTGGGAAGATTATTAGGTTTGCGCTAATGATTTTTGAAATCAGGGATATTGGGGGGAAGGAAAGCCCACCGGTTCATTAGATGCTCGCGCATTTAACTAATAGTGGGGGCGTTTTCGAAGGTCGGGCAGGGGACCCCGCGATATGTCGCTATAGGATCCGGAACAGGAAAGACAGCCTCTTTGTCCCCAGCCGGGGTACCGTATGTATGATAGTTCCAAATCGTTCCGTGCGACGCGGGGCGAGTCGTGGTGGGTGGGTACGGGTAGAACGGGTAGCGGAGGACCTAGGTTCGATATTGAGATGGATAGATCCGTGATTTTGGCGCAGCTATTGGATTTACTCCTATCACGGGCTATCCGAATTTAATAGAGCCGAAAGATTTGGCACAAGGGCACAGGATGGGCATGATACCGGAACGACAGCGTCTCCGGGCAGTAACGAGGATGGAAATTCGCTCCCGAAGCCCTGGTGGAGAAGATGGGGCAGAAAGGGAAACAAGACGCCACCGTCACCCGATAGTTTGGCTTCCACTTGATCCGGGAATTTTCCCGCCTGTTGGTTCGTTTCACTCTAGTAGCGGTTAGACCATGTGAGGGCTCAGCGAGGCGACACCCTCAGCGAGGCTTGGCGATATTTGGCAGCAAAGATTGCCTATGGTCAACGACAGTAGGGAGCCAAGCCGTGCCGCGCCTCGCTGAGGGTGTCGCCTCGCTGAGCCCTCACACGGTCTAAGGCAGGAGCTGGCATTTGCTGCCTGTCTCGTTACTTCAGCTGGTGGGGTACCTATACCGTGCTTGTACTCGAGTACCGGTATTCCAAAACGCACGTCCGCCGATGGGATGCAGTTTGGGGGTTGTTGTCCACTTATCGTCTCATCTATCCTGCGGCCAAACGAGACTGACAGTCACTGCCTTAAGTGCTGCCAAAGTCTAACCAACTGGCGGGAAATCTTTCCCGGACCACCAGCAAGCCAAACCATCGGGTGGCGGTGCAGTCTTGTTTCCTTTTTTCCGCTACCTTCGTTCGGGCGGGGTTGTGTTTGTGGGAGGTGGCTGAGGGAGGAATTAAAAAAATACATATCCTAAGTTGTACCTGCATTGCTTGCTATCGTACAAGAAGGATATCAATATCAATGTCCTATGATGACACTATTGTGTGCTTTGTACTTTTTCCTATTTTCAAGTGCGGGGTTGGATAGATGTTCGGACTGAGCGATACATCATACATGAGGCTGATGGGCTGGGGATACGAGAAATGGGGGGGCAAGCTGGTTTGTCCGCTTGCAGAGGGGCGCTGTAAAGTAAGCATAAGGCAATTCCGGATTCTTCTACTCTTTGAATCATTTCTTCACGGAGGTCTCGTGTACTACTGTACAGTTATTTATAATGGATAGGTCCCACCCCGAAACGGCCGTCCTTGGATATGAAGGACGAGGACTGTATATTGACGCAATCTTACAGGAGTCAACAATCTATCGGAGATGAGAGAAGCTTAGCATCATGGCAGATCGATTGGATTTGGGAGATGCGTACGGTGCGACGAGAGAACGCATAACGGCGAGGGAGGGATGGGGATAAACCAAGACTCCGGATGGTAGCTTTGATGTGGATTAGTTATGATGAACGGCCGTTGCAAGCGTACGAGCTCTGCCACGTCCTGGCAGTCGAGCTGGGCTCCACCGGCTTCGACGCTAGCGATATCATGGCTTTATCCTTCCTATTTTACCCTCGAAGCTTGTGTACTTTATATCTATGGGTTTTTGACTCTGGATTCGGAATGCAGATTGGCTTTAGTGATGTGTGTTTGCTTTGATGAACACATCTACCTTTCTTTTTTTCATGATCGCTAACTTACTCAAAAGAGCTTTGTATGCTACTACTTTACCGCCAATTACACGATGGGGCCTACCTGCATCACCCACGGCCACCCCTTATGGCCAATCACCCAACCCCCCATCTAAACTGAAGCCGACACCCCTGTCGACGTTTCACCAAAATTCACAAATAATCAGCCTCTATTCTTGTCTCTCCCGCGCATCCGCAAAGCTTGGTACATTTTTGTTGTATGCTTCGTTTCTGTTGAACGGGATCTGGAGTGGTATTAGCAAATGTTTGGAAGGGTGGTGGCTGAAGAGCTCACTTTAGCATTACGCACTCCGACACTGATAAGTAACCTCCAGGGCCTAACTATGTCGAAGCTTGTTCGGAGAGCAGGGTTTTTTCCTACTACTTCCAAGACAACATCAGCGCCTCTTGCGTCCGTAGCTTCTAGGATTCGCACCTTAACAGCCCTTTTATCCTCCATAAAGTTCAAAGGTTCCGCCCCATGAGAGTTGGCGGGTTCGCGATGACAGGGAATAGAGTCCATAGCGAATATGCGTGCAAATTTGAAGGAAGCAGTGGCAATAAGGGCACATCGTCCTACCGGACTGCATCCTATCAGAACAACAGTTGCATTCTCACGCTGAGCCAGTGTGAGTTGGGAAAAGCCACAGGATGCAGCAAAGTAGCCACTATTAGCGGGTTAGCTACGACAAAACACTGCTAGTAGGCCCATACGTTGGGAACTAGTTGTTGATTAGCAAAATCGAGCAACAAGTTAATCTGTAGACTTACTATATCTGCTATCAGGATCTATTACGGTTGTCAGCTAAGGCTTCAAAGTGAATATCAACCTGGATCTGACATACAATTGTCTCTTCCTGGATTTCTGGCGGAGCTTTGAGGAGTGTCCCGTCTGCCGACGGAATTCGGACCTAATTCGCCTAGTTAGTTCTTGTGAGAGATCTAGCAGACAAAAAACTAACATATTCCCCCTGGCCTCCATATAAGTATAACATTTTTTGTGTGCATCGGGATGTATAGCCGTTCCTACAGTAGAAACATTCTTGACTATCACATCGTCAACAGCTTACTTGTGAAAGCGATTACCTCGCGTACCAAGAAGTTTTAAATGGGGAAACAGCTTTATCTTCTGCTTGGAATCCAGTAACCCTTTTCCCCACCTCAACAGTCCCGGTGAACCCACAGCCCATAATAAATACGGTATCACTTGAGAGGCAAGTCCCCAGGGAGGTTCATGTCACCGTGGTGACATATAAGTGCGTTCCGGGCTAGTCTGGTGGGATTTGCTTCAACTGCAAGGGGGGGATATCCAAGGGCGACTTCCGTGAGTAAGGTGCTTGGGAAGAGAAGGAACAGCGGCGGATTCTATAAGGTGGCGTTTTCCAGGCCTCACATCGCGCTGGGGGTTACCGCTCTGCGGGATTGTAGCGGAGCTATCACCTTCTGATGGCCATGCCCAGCTGCGAACAAGAGAGTGGTTTGGCCGTCATTTCCCGGCTCGTCACGGTCGACGCCTTCCCTCCCTAGTATTTTCACCACTCTCTCATGTCCATCCCTAGCGGCGAACAAGAGCGGTGTTTTGCCGCGATCATCTGGCTTGTCGTGGTTGACCTCCTCCCCCGTGAGTAGAAGTTTCACCCCCTCGCCGCGTCCATGAGTGGCACCATGCGAGAGTGGTCTTTGGCCACGACTATCTGGCTCGCCGGGGTTGACATCTTCCCATATGAGTAGTATTCTCACACCCCCTTCATGTCTAGACTAAACGGCATCCGAGAGCGAGTTTCGGCAGTAATTATCTAGTTGTTAAGGTTGACCTATTCCCGCTCGAGAAACTTTTTCATGACTCCCTCATGTCCGTGACTGGGGGCATACGAGAGCGGTGTTCGGCCGTCATCATCTGGCTCGTTGGGGTTGACATTGTAAGCGTGGAGGTCTGGAGGAGGGAAACAACGTTCTGTGTTTGCTAGCTACGAGGTGAAACCATTAGCCAATAGACATCTTCGAGCGGTGTTTGGTGGTCATTGCCTGACTTGTAGGAGTTGACCTCTTCCCGCCCGAGTAGTATTTTTACCACTTCTTCATGTTCACAGGCAGCAGCCTGCGAGAGAAGTGATTGGCCGCGATTATTCGGCTCGTCTGGGTCGACCTCTTCCAGCCCGAGCAGCATTTCCACCACTTCCTCATATCCATTATCAGCAGCCCAGGCAAATGGCGGACAGCCCCAAAAGTCTCCTTCGTTGATATCCTAACATCCCATCTCTATTAAAGCAGCCAGGATCTCGACAATTCTAAAGAACGATACGCAGTGCAGCCCGGTGAATGGAGGCTAGGTATTACGCCACTCAAGACCTAAATTCTCCACTTGCGTTAATAGAAATTCAGTGGATATGTGACCATCAAACTCCAGGAATAGCTTCGGCGCAAGCGATCTCCCGCAGTTCGAGAGTTCCGTTTCCGCATGGACTCCCCAGTACACAGAAAAATATTCTGGAAAGGGTGTATTCCGGGTGTCAAGGGATGGATCGGTCGAAAGGGCCTTGACTTGCCGGGAATTCAGATAGGTCAAGCAGACCTCGGCCATCGCCGCGTGGGGTCTGATAAGAGTGTCTGGATGAGCGGAAGGGCACTCTCGGAGGGTAAAGTGGACCGGTCCCACAGTTGACTCCTAGTCGCCCGCCGTAATGGGCGCGCCGGTGTCGGCTATAAAGTACACAAGCTTCAAGGGTAAAATAGGAAAGACAAGGCCATGAAAACGAATTCAGAAACCATCGATCATTCATATAACGTCTTTCTCTCTAGGTACAGAAAGCAAGAACGGGACCATTTAGGTCGGAGTAAATTATCCTGCTCCACACACAGGATTAACCTCCTTCTTGTGCTTCTCTGGGATACCTGATAATCCAATCTTCCTGCTCCCGCAACGAAATCCAACTCCCCAATTTACTATTAAAACCTCGCAATGCAATCCAGAAAGTCCGGCTTGCACTTCGAGGCACCCACTATTCTTTCGTGACGAATACTCCCTCCAGCAGATTGATGGAAAAACTAAGCAAAGATTTAGCAATAAGGGGGGGTGAAATGAAAAGTCGGCGTACAATCGTATGTCGTGAAATTCATGGTATCTCTCTGTGCCACTGAACACATAAAATATCAGTAATTAGAAACCCGTTGAATCGCCCCACTGTGGATCTGAGCAAACTAAAGTAGTTCAGCATTGGGGGGGGGGGGTGGTACAATTAATAGCTCGAGAACAGATATAAGGCCCATTCAGACAGTTCGTTGTTCGAGATGATGATATCGCCAGCTGACCCGGGAAATGGAGGATCAAAAATGCGATCATACGGGATTATCAGATCCTTATCTTTGTTTTCTGGATTAGTAGTAACATCACCAGCAGCATCAATATCGAAAAATTGGTGCAGCTGGGGTGTTTTCGGGGTTCGGCTGCGGGTCGCATTCTGGGTCTCATCGGGCATCATTTCCCAGCATTCTATGTGCAACGAATTTGGGCTAGGAGCTTTAACTATCTTTATTAGGATGACGAGTTTTGTTTTTCCCCCACCATTTTCGAGCCACCATTTTGCATCATTTTGAAGTAAGGCCAGACTCTCAGAATCACCAACTTCTAGTACCAAGGTTGGCCAGTAATTGGGGGGTTTCCTGGTAGACGGTATGATTCCCTGGTCCCCCTCTTTGCTTCGCTTACCAGGAGCGGAAAACCTTGTGGCTCCTGCGGTAAGGTAGGAGCGCCATGAATGCCCAGGTAGGAGTTCTATCTTCGTTTCAACTCGCCTAATAAAGGATCCACCAGTGATTTCGTGGGCTGCTCCGGGCATAAGTCTAATAATAAGAGATTGAGGAAGCTCCTCATAGGTACATCTCACCGCATGGTGAATTTCCAGGGCATGGAATGCATCATCAATCTGTGGGATCTTGTCGGGTAGAACTCCGTGGACCAGTAAGTAACATCCCTTTTCCACTTGTTGGCATTGACGGATCTTCCTCTCGATCTTGCGAGCAAGACGCCCAGGTGTGGTAAAGGATGACTCATTTTCGTTATCAATTAGAGAAGCTAGTTGACGGAATGCGTGACTTGGACTCAGAAGGTCAGATTGGCTGAGATCAATACTGTCGGTCACTGGGGTCGGGATCGGAGCAGTAACAGGTACGGCTTTTTGACTCATTTGGATAGGTGGACTTGATGGTAGAGTTGAATGGGTGATCGGTGAAGCGGAGCCAGAGCAATCAGTTGTCGATGAGGTACTAGGCACAGCTGATCTCCTATTGATCCTTTGGCCATAGTATGGGTAATCAGCGGGGCCACTGAACACATCTGCCATAGTTTAAAAATCAATGATAAAAAGCGGAGGATTGGGTAGCAGCGAATCGCTGTCAGAGAGGGATTATGGATTGGTGAAAAAAGAGAAATAGAATTGTGAATAGTGCGAGCGGGGCAGGGGATATGTCAGGAACGATGACAGAAATTGAGCTCACCTTGCACAGTAAGACTGTGGCAGTAGATTGTTTTACAGGAGAGTGGAGGGAGACGTGAGATGGGGGGATAGAGGTCGCCTGTTGCCCAATTGCTAGCTGACGTGGCCTCATTAGGAGAGGACTCGGAGTATGTTCGAAAGCGAGGGTGACTAATTGCGCTCCCCATTACAACGGTTAATTTAGATTAGGCGGGGGGTCAACGAACATGGGGCTCAAAGAAGCTGGTGCAGACCGTTAGGGCTGCGGAGAAAAAATGGCACAACACGTCTGTCGTAGCGATCTTATCCCTTAACCTGGTGAGACATTCAGTCCAGATTGGAATGTCTAGCACTAACCTATTTGGGGAACTGGGAGTAAATCTACGCTGAATTTCTTGCTTCCATCATGGCCATACTGAACAGTACAGATTTTGCGGAGTTCTGAGCACTACACCACTTTTGGAGCGGGCGGGTTTTCCTATCACGATTACCCAAATAAGTTAGTGCTAGACATTTCAATCTGGACTGAATGTCTCACCAGGTTAAGGGATAATACTTCACCTCTAATTTCGTGGGGGCCATGAAAAATTGCCTACTTGGGTCAACACGAACAAGGGTGACGGACGCATCTGGGGGAATTCCCAAATGGAAGCAGGACAAAGCAGAGAAAACCTTTTCAATACCATGCACTTGGCAACCAACCTTTCGGATAACTTACCATCCCCCGGGAAATATACCATCCAAAAGGTTTCACATAGCAACGAACAGCAAAATCCTAGAGGTATATTTTCTGTCTATCCATTCCTCAAATGACGCAATTAATTTCAAAGGATTTGCAAAAAATATTAGAAATAACCTGAAGCCTCTAGATATTTTTCTACTTTTTTTCACAATTTTTGAAGACCTTTCTGTGAAGGTTTTAGCAATTTCCTCAGAACCCCCGGCACAATTTTCCACCGAAACCACACCACTTTGAAGCAAGGGCAGACCAACACACAGGAGGTTTTTCTAACTACAAAGAAAATTAAAGATCTAACTGTTGATCAGATTTATCTTTCTCCATTTTAGTTTATTCTTTGAATTTTTCCTCATCATTTTATGATGAGTCACTTTGTTGAGGGTATTTGCCGGCCGATGGTCTCCGAAAGGTTTGTTGCGAACATGCAGGGTTTTGAAAAGGTTGACCTAGGACAAGCAAGTATCGAAAGTCGCACAAGGCTGCCATGTTTAGGGTACTCGAGTATCCGTGCAATATCTTGGCAATCTGACGCTTACCCGTTCCATTGACGTTCGTCGTCACCCCGCACTGAGAGACATAATCTCATAGAACTCCGCAGGCGAACCGTCAATCCGTCCCGTCCGACATGCCCGCGGACCGGCCAGATGGGTTCCCGGCCCGTCGAACCGAGCTTAGGGATAGCCGTCTCGCTCTTGCTACGGGGGGAGAGGTTTGGCGGTGCGGCGACTGACAAATAGCGCAGCGGTACGATAGGTGATATAGGTGTGTGTTGGGTCAGGTGTGCAGGACGCGGGTATGATCGGAAACAGCGTTGTCTTGTCTTCGCTAGCTCTGAATTAACGACAAACACAATCGATATGTGAAACGGAAACGAAGCCTTCCTATCCTCTCATGCATCACTACGCACATCTTTCTTCCTCCGTACGAGTCCATGTGCCTCTGTACACTACCCTAATACCAAAAGAAAGACAGATCCAGAGAAGCCACAGCGCAAGTCACAGGAGCTCTGGAAAAATCCATATCGCTCCCGAACAGTCCATTGCATGCCTCTCACTTCCGGAATCGTGCACAAAATCCCACACTTACTCCATAACCGCTAGCAGATCCCTCAGACTTAGCGTCGACCACCCCCATCACAGTAGATGCCCATATGTCCTGAGGCCAAACCGAGTGCCACTCGGGAACCAACTGGACCACGGCGCCCCACAACTCAGCCGGGTCGCCGCCCGGGGTCCTTCGATGAGTGGGTGCATGAACGACCCCCGGGTGCAGGTTGTAGGGAAAATTGGGGATGTAAGCTTATGTCCTCACGTAAACGGCCATGTCCAGCCGGGTTGCCGGGATAGGGGGAGGAAGAAATGTTTTTTTTTCGATGCGGAATTATTTGGATGAGGGGCGCTTGAGAAAACCATGTGATCGGGGTGATGTGAGGAGGAAATGTGCTGTGAATTCGAGGTTTGTGACGGTACTAACGCACTTGAAGGAAAACAGCGAGATAATCGAGGAATATTAATTCTCAGCGTGCAAGTAATCTCGCTAACTTAAATCTTTGAGAATATACCATGCTATATGGAATTGTCCACCATCGGGAACTACTCTCAAGGCTTTGAAACTTGTCGAAAGGTTCTGTCCCTTCCACTTCTCCACCTTTCCTAGACATGCGCATCACAAGGGCTGGCATTTGTAAATATCTGGAGATATCCGTACAGCCGCTAACAACACGGCACACCGGAAGTCTTCCAACGTCCCTAAGCACTGTGGAGGTGGAGATTTAGGGGCTGTTTGGCAGACCATGTGTTGAGATAACCGTGTAGAATACACGGTTTTTCCTCACAAGTGGTGTTACCAGAATATGTTTAGAGGTGTTAAAGCATGTTAAATGTGGTATTAAGCAAAGTTCGGGGCAGGAGAACCGGTGAAACATGTGTGTAGAACACAGGGTCATCTAAACACATGGTCTGCCAACCACCCCCTTAGCCCTGGCTGTTTTAAAATACCCCGATTTGTCGGTCCTATCTCTGATTATTTTGTGAAGATTTTATGAGGTTTCTAGATGTTTCTAGGGGCGACTGTTATGAAAGGCATTTTTGTGGGCAGGTGGCCCGGAAATTTACAGGAGGGGCCTTTTCTCCCTTGTCTCTCCTTCACAGGAACTTTGGGAATGGAACCTTGAACAGCAACGAACATGAAACTACGAACTACGAACTACGTGAAACGGCCGTCCAAGGAACCTTGTGTGAACCAGAAAGATTGCGGGGAAAGGAGCGAAGGGAAGAAAGACCGTGTTGCTTGGGAGTGGAGGAATCGTGATTCGGGAACAGCCAAAGGGCCGTGCTGTTATTCCGTTTCTCCGTCCAGGTAGCTGCCTGCTTTCTTTTCCTTTTCGTTTGTGGCAAGTGAAGCTTCTTCTTAGCTTCTTTCTTTCTTCGGTCCCTTACCCAGCCCGGAATTGTCATTTTCACCACTCACAAAGCCGGGCTTACGAAAGCCCCGGTCGCTCTCCGTTTGACCCCACCTAGCCAGCCTCTGTATCTGCCCGATGTCGGTAGCCCGGTCCGTCCGCTTGTGAACACTACTCTCGCATTGCTTCCTTTCTCATCTTCGCTTCTCCCCGTTCTCCTCTCTTCACTTTTATTCCCTTCACTTCACTTTGTTTCTCTCTCATATTCGTCTCGCTACTTGTCATGTCTTCCCAACAGCTCTTCTATCCCTTGAACTGCCTCACTTCTTGAGACTTCCAAACTCTCTTCCATATTTTTTTCACGGGGTGGTGAGCGACCACACATTTCCCGGTAAATCGAACCTGCATCTAGCATATCTGAAATGAGAGAATTAAACAGAATAACTACAAACATCACGAGTAACGAGTCAAATCTGTGGTTTCGATGGGCGGGTGGGCGCCAGCGTTTCGCGGTGCGCTAGGCAACAGATCATAGTGTCTAACCCATCGTACTGTCCTTGGTGTCGCAGAAGCATGGCGGGCTTGGAGACACCTGCTCTGGTGTTCGGGGTTTCCACCAGACCCCCGGACAAGAAGCGGATTGGCTGTGATATCATATATAGTCTGTCCTGTCCTGTAGAGGATATGGCATGGGGTTGTTGGTGGCAGGGCACCGGGGGGGCAGGTGTACAAGAGATTTCTTTAATATCTGAGAATCTAGGGCCGCACAGGGCCTAGGAGACAGACAAGGTATGGGTGGGTGAGTGGGTGACTCGGATTGTATTTTGGCATCTAACACATAATACCCAATTTGAATAATAACAAAAGAGTAATTTTCCATGATTCTAAGTAGTCACGGGGTTGACCGCAAAAAGGTTGTGGGATGAGAAAACATAATAACAGATCATTTCCGATCACTAAAAGAGAAAAGTGATGATAGAAATTGAGATACCAAAGGGAAAGTGAAAAACTCCAACACTTCCTCCGTATTACGCTTCACTCAACAGCTCGCCAAACACGGGGTCTCCTAGGTTGGTCATTCACCATAGTCCTGCACGTTCTGCGGCTGTTACCAACACAGATTCTTACGGTCTCTTCCGCCGGTTGGATCACTGTCACTTCTAGTTGAGCCTGTTTCCATAAGATGCTGATAGGAATGGTACGAGGTCTGTAGAAAAGGGAGAAAATAGATCTGTATTTTCTTTTTGCTCTATACCATTCAGGTACCTTTCTCGCTTGCTGTCGATCTAACGGGCACAGTGGTGATCGATATAGAAAAATGTAGCTCTCTCCTCATAAAGATAGAGGTTCTCCCTGGCCCCTTTTCTTCCGGCTATCAGTCCGGCTTCTTTCTCGCTATATTCCCGGTCGGCGATGCTAGGGTGATAAAATTTGATTGAATTCCTTGACAAAATATATCTTTTAAGGCACTGGTGCAGTAGCGACATGATATGAAAGTGGCAATATAAGCCACCTTAGATTTGTATTTCAAGCTTTTCTATGATAAAGAACTTTAAACCAAGGGAAATCTCCCCTGTATTTATACGCAGTGGTTTAAACCGGCCTGAAATAAATATACCCGTTGTATTGCCAAAACACAGTATACTAGGAAAAGAAAATGGAAAACAAAGTAATAGCACATGACCGCATTTTAACACCTATTTAATTCGTCTCAGTGCTGCCAAACCTTGAATGACTGAGTACCGAGCAGGCAAACCCCCTTCTACTCTCTGCCGGCCGGGATCTGAGAGCCGAGAAATGGTATTAGCTGCGAGCAGTTCCAACCAACTGCCTTCCGCTATCACATACCGTACTCTTCAGGCAACTTAAAGAACCGATGAAGCACAAAGAAATATTGGTGGGGGTAAAACTTGGAGTCTGGGGACCACAGGACTCCCGAAGGTATTCCAGCGAGCACCGGTAATTATGATCAGGAAGACAGGGCTGCCTGTAGTGTGAGGGGTCACTATTTTGAGGTGTTGCCCTTGCGGAAGACCACTCTCCGCCGCAAATAACCTATAACACGGCGTGAAAATTGTGGTCGCATATCCGCTGGGTTCCCTGGTGGTGTCTGCCCCGTACCCCGCTCAACTGTCGCTGAATCATTACCCTCTCCTTGGAGTCGTATGACCATAGCCAGGTTGTTGGCACTTAGTTGGGTGTGGGGATGGTCTGGTCCAAGGGTCTTCCTGTGCCCCTCTAGTGCACGCCGGTGCATCGTCTCTGATTCCTTGTACTTCCCTTGGCCTTGAAGCACACAAGCTAGGTTGCCAACACTTGTTAGGGTGTCCGGGTGGTCGTGTCCAAGAATCCTCTCAGACCCCTCTAGTGCACGCCGATTCATTACCTCCGATTCATCGTACTTTCCTTGGGATTTCAGCACAATGGCCAGGTTGTTGACACTTGTTAGGGTGTCTG